AATGATTCAGAATGCAGCGGTACGACTGGTCTTCAACGAGCCCAAAAGAGCCCATGTTACACCTCTCTTTATCTCCTTGCACTGGCTACCGGTCGCGGCTCGAATCAAGTTCAAGACATTGATGCTTGCATATAGAACAGCTACAGGCTCAGCACCCGCCTACTTCCACTCACTACTACGAATCTACATCCCCTCCAGAAGTCTGAGATCCGCTAGTGAGCGACGCCTCATGGTACCATCACAGACAGGCTCAAAATCACTTTCCAGAACATTCTCGTTCACCACTCCTGGCTGGTGGAACGATCTTCCCACCCCTATCCGGAATGCTGAATCCCTGACAATTTTCAAGCGACAGCTGAAAACTCATCTCTTTCGTAGCTACTTGACTTCATCATCATCATTATAAAAAAAAATTTAAAAAAAAATTCTCTCTTTATTTATTCCTTCTCTTTCTAGCTTGTACTTATTTGAACAATGTCTAGAAACTTGGTATTACAAGCACTTCCTGTATCTGTTTGCCTCTTTAAGAAGAATCGCTTTATGTATCCCCCAATTGTAAGTCGCTTTGGATAAAAGCATCTGCAAAATGACTAAATGTAAATGTAGTATTGTATTTTTAGATGCATTGTATATTTATTTATTTATTTGAAATATGTTTTATTATTATTTATTTACTGGTTTAATATTATTTATTACATTTTTTTTTTCTCTGAGCCCCTTCCCTTGCGGCCCCCTGGAGTCGGCTACACTAAGCATTATGCTAATATTCCATTTCAAACATCACCATAACCATTAGTCACTTCAATCTGAGGTACAGTTAGTGTAAGGTAATTTCAATTAACTTGATTTAAGAACAGATGTCAAAGAGAAGTTATGAATTAGACAGATACGGTAGGTAAACATACACTTGTGATGCTACAAACAAAATCTGACATATTTGTTGATATTTTAAGTCATGTCTGCTGATCTACCAAGGTCGCCAGTTAACTAAATTAACTAAATACTGTTATAGTCTCCTAAATGTAGAAAACTAGGCCATGTGCTGAGCGCGGGTGAATGTAGATGCAGACTAAACCGACAGCCAAGAATAACTCTCATAATCAGCTATTACCGACAGTCACAGTCTTGAAAATATCTGCTGTTCTGTACCTGATGAACACGTGCAGCTGCACTGAATGCCCTGTAGGGTTGTGATATGAATTGTGAGTCATTTGTGAATTACTAGCAAAAGTCTAAGACAGATAGAGACGGCCTGAACAGAAAAGCTAAAGTGTCAAGTACTTCACGTATTTACTATATTTAAACATAATGATGGAGAATCTGTACTTTACTTGGGTACTATTCATTGTTGTTATTGTTAACTAAAAATGAGAAAAGGCTGAAATAAAATTAAATAAAAATATTAAATGAAAACTTGCACAAATTGCATAAATAAAAATTAAAGCTAAAAAGAAATATATATAAAAATAATGATAAAATAAAACAAAAAATGACAAACACACAGCAAAATGACTAAAACTTAAACTAAACTAAAATGAAAACTGTAAATATAAAAATAAAAGTTTATTCAATATATTAATAAATAGCATAGCGGTATATATACATAATTAACTGGATCTTATAAATAACACTGGATCTATGGAACCAAACACTTCTTCTCTAATTCACATTTCACATTTCCACGTCAAAAATGATACTTTACACTCCTTACTAGTTCATTTAGACCTCATTTAGTACATTTGCAGGTCATTGTGACTTTCCTCTTTTCCCAGCTGAACGTTTATGGCATCACATCACTGACCTAAAGCAATGTTTTAATTACTTTTATTTGTGAAGATGGATGAACTTGACTTGATTAAACAGGCTGTTGTATAAAGTTACTGCACAGGGGGGAAAAATAATAAAAAAAACTAAAAAAGTAATAACTATGGAAACAATTCACTTTCACTCAAATCTGTTTTATCTAGACACATTTTAGACCTCTGCAGATAACAAAAGGAAGAGTTGAACATACAGCATTTGCTGCGCTGGTTCAGGTCAGTCCATGTGCCGTCAGGGAGACACTTCCTGACCTTTGGTCCCACGATCATTCTGTTCCCTCTGCAGATATACTCGATTTCATAATCCACCGGCAACACCTGAACACTGCGGATCTGCATTCAGACAGAGAGAAATTAATACTTTATTTTAAATTGAATACTAAATTCAATATTAAATTGATCCAAAGTGACAATAAAGATGTTTAAAATGTTACAACAGATTTCTTATTTCAAATAAATGCTAAACTTTAATTCATCAAATAATACTGAAATAAATGAACACCGCTTCCACACAAATATTAAGCAGCACAACTGTTTTCAACACTGATAGTAATCAATGTTTCCTGAGCAGCAAATCAGCATATTAGAATGATTTCTGAAGGATCATGTGACTCTGAAGACTGGAGTAATGATGCTGAAAATTCAGCTTTGATCACAGGAATAAATACATTAACATATTAAAATAGAAAACAGTTCTTTTACATTGTAATAATATCTCAAGACTGTTTTTACTGTATTTGTAATCAAACAAATGCAGCCTTGGTGAACATAAGAGACTTTTAAAAACATAAAAACCCGACCTAAAATTTTTCAACAGTAGTTTACACTTGTCCATCTATCCCCCTAGACCCATACAGATACACATATTTAATATAATAAATTACTAATAAAAGTAAATCTTCACACCTGTTCCTGAGTCAGACCCCTGTATCTGATCCCTCCGTCTCTTGGCGGGCGAATGATAGCACAACCTGATGGAAAAGATGTGTAAATAATCAAAAGATAATCATGCTTTCTGAAGGATGTCTTTGAAATAATACTAATACACTCACAGAAAATGCTACCACCATTTATCACAAACTGCAACGCTCATTTTGTCCGTTAGATGGAGGACTCTCCTTTCTGAACATGTGAGCAGAAGCAATAGTGACAGCCATGACAGAAGCGCCAGTGACCGCCTGAGACGTTTATTTGTACAATTTTCCATTCCTGCCACTATGATAAAATAGGATGTATATATATATATATATATATATATATATATAATCATTATTTTGGGTATATATAAATATATGTGTGTGTGTATATGTATTGTGTATATTGTTTCTTAAATTGAGCTGCCTTCACAGACTAGTGGCTTCACAATCAGAGCCTATTGTAATCACAAACTACAGATGTATCCATATATAGTACTAGTAAACTCAAGAGTAAATGTCTGAGTGTCCCCTGGGCTCACGGCTCTGCCGGGGATTTGCTGTCAAAATGAAAGAGCACCGTAGCTGTAACCTGTTATTACAGCCTGCTTCACCTACAGTGTCAGCAGCTAATTACAGTCATCGTCAATCCCAGAACCCGGGGGCAAGGCAGACCAGCACGACTTTTCCCACGTGCATGTGTGTGTGTTACAGTCATTTTGTGTGTGAGGGTATTTTTAGGGACGAAAACATGAGCAACATTATCAAAATCAAATGCTGCCATTGGCTCGCTGTTCGCAGCTTTGAAGAGACTCTAGAGTCGTTTGAAATGCCAAGCCTACACTGCACAACATGTATTCTGGCATTTTGTGCGACTGTATTCAAGAAGAGCACGTCCACGTTGCTGCTAAATATGGCTGTCACTCCTCTACTGAATGCTTCATCCCGCTCTGTATATGGAACAGGTCAGGATGGTCATCTTCAACAACGACACTTTTTAGGTTTGATTTTTTTAGAGGTGTGAATCAAAGGGAATGATGTTGTTAATGGAAATAAACCTGAAATAAAATAAAACTGAAATATTAGATTTTAAAAAATGTAAAAGTTGAAATGCTCGTTGAAAAACAAAACAAACAAAAACTTCGAACTGAAATAGAAATAATTTAAATAATAAATCTAGTAATGTAAAAAAAAAAAAATGACTACAGCACATACTGTAACAAAATTACTCAAATTAAAATTAAAACTGAAAAATTTAAAATAAGCTAAATTCAAAACATTAATAAAAAACTATAACAGTATATAAATGCCTCGGATGTATATATGTACATACAAATGTGCAACTGCATCAAATTGCATATTTTTGCTCAGTTTGGGCTTCTGAATAAAACTGAGTTTTTATTTATAATATATAATTATATAATTAAGTCTAACACTTCAATAAACTTCCATTAAAAACATCATCTGACTATTATTTCATACATCAGGTTTTACAGGGTTAAAGTACAAATGCAACATCTCACATTTTAATCAAATAACATTTCAAAACAATTACTGTCAAACACCAATATCTGATAACACTTTATTTTAGCAACGGAGAGAGAAACTAAAGAGAGAGCAGAGAGAAAATGCCTACAATCCACAGTTTAATACCATATATACAGTATATCCGATGTTGTAACATGTTACACGTTACATGTCCTTACAGTTACACCTTATTTTACAGTACATGTACTTACAGCATACTTACACTGTACTTACCCAAGAAAGTACTGGGTAGTATAAGGTAACTATATGGGTTTAGGTTTGGCTTAGGGGTCGGTTCAGGGTAAGTATTACCCGGTTATTGTAATTGCTATAATAAGTACATAGTTGTCATGGGTTGCTACGGTGCAGGAACACCGAGCGAGGAGACCAGGAGTACAAAACCAAGGAATTTAATTATATCGTGGGAAATCACAGGTAGCACAAGGAGCTGACATAAACAATACCGGACAAAACAACAGGGAACAGAACACTCTTTAAATACACTGAACAGGAAGATGGGATGACAAGACACACCTGGGATCAATGGAAACCATATAGGAAACACCTGGGACAAATGATAAACAATCAGGGAGCAGGAACAGGAAGACCAAATGGGGGCATGGAAACATGAACATGTGACAATAGTATGTACATGTGGAACAGAACTGTAAAATGAAGTGCTACCGTACTTACTATATGTAGTGAAGCCAGTAAATTATGCATAATTAGAAGGAGCTAACCCTAAACCTATAGCAAGTAGTTACTTAATATTACTTAGTACTTATTTGTGTAATTACACTGTACACATTGAGTTTGGTTACAACCATTGACAACCATATTATACAACTGAATTTACTCCTAAACACATGAGGAAGTAACAACCAAAGTGTCATGAAATCTGTGAAATTAGTGATTTATGTGCATAAACAAAACATGGCACCTCTGTAGACTAATCTGTCTCCATCGTTAGTCTTAATGTCAAATGTCAAAAATAGTTAACACCAATTAGGTTAAACTGTTGGCTTCCATGTTTCTTGTTTACTACCACTAGACACATAGCGTTGGCTATAGCCATTGCTTTGCTCGGTTATCACTCCTAAAACTTTGCAGTGTGTATGTGCTTGACATTATAATGACAGATCAGGAGATGCACTGTGACAAGGAATATTCCACAGGCTTTTATTGCTGTTCAACAGGCCATAGAACAGGACAATTATGCATGGGAGGATTATATACGTGAGGATTTATGTACTTATTATAGCTGTCAGACATCCAATAGTGTTGATATTGTGTTTCATTAGTCGTTCAGCTTGGGCAAGGCAGACTAGCTAAGCTTGTAATATCTGAGATAGGAAGCATGCAATTAGAGCTGGATGGAGGAGATGTGAGAAAAAATTAAATTCTAGATGCTGACTGATGTGACCAGTGAATAAGACCTTTTTACACGCACGGATTACCAACACACTGCCTAGAAAACACAAACAAATAAAAACAAAGAGATGCAAACAAAAAGTGACATACACATTTGTTCAAATGCTTTCACACACAATTAAAGTTGGGGATCAAGAACTTTCTCTTATCCAGAACAGTGCTTTCATTGCTAACTAAAACAAAATCATTTTCATTAATTAAAATAAAGCTGAAATAAAATTAAATGTTAATATCAGATGGAAAAACTAAAACTGAATGTTGCATCTATTGTGTATCAAGATGTAAACTTTTAGTTTGCTAATGTGAATGAAAAAAAAAAACTGCCTGCCACACAATGAGTTCTCATGAATTTTCAGTTTGAATCTAAAACTAAAACTATTCAAAATTGTTTTCAGTAATTGAAATAAGGTTAACATAAAATTAAATATGAATATTAAAAAATGAAAATACTAACTTAGTTGAAGTAAAAATACTAAAACGGGGGAAAAAAATAACCTAAAAATATAGGCGTAACTTAAACTGTAAAGAATCAGCGAAACGTTCGCTCTATGAACAATTATGAATAATAAGAATTTTCAAAAACTGGGTATGATGAGTTGACATTATTTTACTCACCCTTCAACTACTGATCATTAAAAGAACATTTGAAAGTGTGAAAACATTAACAAATTACTTTCAACATGAATAACCCCAAAAGCTCGATTATTTCCACAGCAATATTACGGACGTGTTAAATTTCACTGGAGTAGTATATGTCTATATTACGTAACAATTATATTTGAAAGCATTAGTTAGAAAACAACCCTGGAAAGAGACATGAGGATTTGGAGAGAAAAACATGAGATTCTTAGTGCATTTCAATTAATTATTCATGGTTTGTATAGTTTATTCATTCGGGAGAGCAGACAGCAAATGTGCAGTATATGTGGTCTTTTTTCATACTGTTACAGTGGAATACAAAAAGAAAAAAGGTTATCAGGAGGAAAAGAATGCAGTGGAGTGAGAAGAGCTCTTGCCATTGACATTATTGTTATATCATCATGTCACATTAAAATACCATGCGTTACATTATTCTCCTGATATCTGAAAAATAGAATATGAAGGAAAATGTATAGCTCATTCAGTCAAACTGAGGATAAGGATTATTTAGCGGAACTGTGTGATCTGAAATGATTTGTTTTAGTCTTTTTGAGTGGAACTTCCCCAAACCCAAAGTGCCTCCTATAATTTAAAACCTAGTAGGCTAGGTTAGAAAAAAGGTGGATAGAAATCTTTAAAAAAAGAATAATAATAATAATAATAATAATTAAAAAAATAAAAATGACAAAAGCACGTAACAAAATTACTAAAATGGAAACTTTTTTATAAAGAAGCAAATTCAAAATATTAATAAATATTATAACATATAAACAATATATAATATATAAACAATACTAAAATAGCAATACTAAAATAGTGAGATGAAGTCATATCAGTAGTGTAATAAAAGCTGTTTTATTTTGCATGGAGTGGGTCACTTTATGGAGGCCATTTTAAACCATGACCAAACTAAATAAATAACTGTATAAATAATAGCTGACTGCAAATTTTAAGTGACACTGGTAACCAAAAACAAATGCTTTTACATGATGCATCCACACCACTAGGTGTCAGTATAAGTACAAGACAACCAAATCGGCCAGTGCAAAGCAAACAGTGTTACCAAGTTTGCGGTTTTGCTGTGGAATTGGGCTACTTTTATACCACTGCTATGTTTTTTTTAGCCGCTGTTTGAAGCAAAATCCCCTGCCCCCCACGGAACACAATTTAGATCGAGGTTTTGACCCTCTGGAATGCGAATTTGGAATGTTTTTGATGCAATTTTAGACCTGGCAACCCTGAAAGCAAACGTCATATTACTGACTGCCCTTTTAATAATGAATATAGGGTTAGTTCACCCAAAAATGAAAACTACCCCATGATTTACTCACCCTCAAGGCATCCTAAGTGTATATGACTTTCTTCTTTCAGACGAATACAATTGGAGGTGGTCGAGATTTCGAAGCAAAATAAAGTGCATCCATCATAAAAAGTACTCACAGCTCCAGGAGGTTAATAAAGGCCTTCTGAAGTGAAGCGATGTGTTTGTGAAAGAAAAATATCCATATTTAAAATGTTATAAACCGTAATCTCTAGCTTCCTCTAACTGTCATGATCACGTTCACGAGAGAGTGGCGTCCAGCCCCACGGTTCTGCACGAATGTGATCCGCGGATTAATTGCAACATTTAACCATAATAGAGTATAAGTTTATTATTTGTTCGTATTTACACAAGCAAGCGAATTTTAAACAATTCCAGAGAGAAAAGGCGAAAGTGAACTCGATTCGTTACTCGCGCGCTGTTCTCTACGCGCACAGCCGCACACACATGAAGCGTTCACACGCGTTTCAGTCGCCGCGCGAACACCGAACTGAATCCTCTTCTGAATCCTCTGAACAGACACATGCACATAAAATTATGACAAAATACCCATCTCGACAATCATTCAGGTAAACGCAGTTATATCTCAAGTGAATGAAAACAGCTGAGAAAGAAATCGGATGTGCATCAGGTCTTAAAGGGACAGCGGCCTATAAATACTGCTGCTGTCATTAATGATCAGCAAACAACAAAAGAGCTGTGATAAAAATCTATATTTAATTTATACAGTGAACACTATGCAGTGTTATTTTCCCTAATTATTACATTTCTGTATTTGAATACTACCAACCTTATTTTATTTGTAACATATTCCTGTTGTATTTATCTATGCTTGTAATTTGTGTATTAATAAATATTATAACATATAAACAATATATAATATATAAACAATACTAAAATAGCAATACTAAAATAGTGAGATGAAGTCATATCAGTAGTGTAATAAAAGCTGTTTTATTTTGCATGGAGTGGGTCACTTTATGGAGGCCATTTTAAACCATGACCAAACTAAATAAATAACTGTATAAATAATAGCTGACTGCAAATTTTAAGTGACACTGGTAACCAAAAACAAATGCTTTTACATGATGCATCCACACCACTAGGTGTCAGTATAAGTACAAGACAACCAAATCGGCCAGTGCAAAGCAAACAGTGTTACCAAGTTTGCGGTTTTGCTGTGGAATTGGGCTACTTTTATACCACTGCTATGTTTTTTTTAGCCGCTGTTTGAAGCAAAATCCCCTGCCCCCCACGGAACACAATTTAGATCGAGGTTTTGACCCTCTGGAATGCGAATTTGGAATGTTTTTGATGCAATTTTAGACCTGGCAACCCTGAAAGCAAACGTCATATTACTGACTGCCCTTTTAATAATGAATATAGGGTTAGTTCACCCAAAAATGAAAACTACCCCATGATTTACTCACCCTCAAGGCATCCTAAGTGTATATGACTTTCTTCTTTCAGACGAATACAATTGGAGGTGGTCGAGATTTCGAAGCAAAATAAAGTGCATCCATCATAAAAAGTACTCACAGCTCCAGGAGGTTAATAAAGGCCTTCTGAAGTGAAGCGATGTGTTTGTGAAAGAAAAATATCCATATTTAAAATGTTATAAACCGTAATCTCTAGCTTCCTCTAACTGTCATGATCACGTTCACGAGAGAGTGGCGTCCAGCCCCACGGTTCTGCACGAATGTGATCCGCGGATTAATTGCAACATTTAACCATAATAGAGTATAAGTTTATTATTTGTTCGTATTTACACAAGCAAGCGAATTTTAAACAATTCCAGAGAGAAAAGGCGAAAGTGAACTCGATTCGTTACTCGCGCGCTGTTCTCTACGCGCACAGCCGCACACACATGAAGCGTTCACACGCGTTTCAGTCGCCGCGCGAACACCGAACTGAATCCTCTTCTGAATCCTCTGAACAGACACATGCACATAAAATTATGACAAAATACCCATCTCGACAATCATTCAGGTAAACGCAGTTATATCTCAAGTGAATGAAAACAGCTGAGAAAGAAATCGGATGTGCATCAGGTCTTAAAGGGACAGCGGCCTATAAATACTGCTGCTGTCATTAATGATCAGCAAACAACAAAAGAGCTGTGATAAAAATCTATATTTAATTTATACAGTGAACACTCTGCAGTGTTATTTTCCCTAATTATTACATTTCTGTATTTGAATACTACCAACCTTATTTTATTTGTAACATATTCTGTTGTATTTATCTATGCTTGTAATTTGTGTATTTGTTCTTATTTTTACTGGCTGTTCTCTTGTCTCTTTAATCATGTTTAAACTTCCTTAGTTAATCTAGTAGTATTTGCTGTGGTATCAAAAAAGTACTTTGCTTTATAGTTCACCCAAAAATGAAAATTCTGTCATTAATTACTCACCCTCATATCGTTTCAAACCCGAGAAACCTTCATTCATCTTCGGAACACAAATTAAAGGTGCCATAGAATGCATTGATACAATATTTGATTTAATTGTTCTCTGATATCTACATAGAAGGTATGTGGCTTATGTAAGGGCAAAAAATGTCCAGAAACGGTGTTACATGTCCATTTACAACCCTAGGATTTGTCCCTAGAATGAAATGGAAAAAAAAAACTTTATTCAACAATTTGTCTCCTCCGCATCATCCTGTAGAGCCATTTTGGAGAGTATAAGCTGGATGTAAACAGCGTATGCTGTTCTGTGTCAGCTGCGTCACCATATTTCGCTTGTTTCTTCACAATATCTGCAGAAATTCTGATGATTCGGCTGTGCAGGTTCGGCTGGCGGCTACCACTGATGTCACATGGATTATTGTACAGCTCTCTATGCTACATTTCTGGACTTGGGAACATTTCAGGTGCGTTGCTGTCTATGCAGGGTCAGACAGCTCTCAGATTCGATCAAAAATATCTTAATTTGTGTTCCAAAGATG